ATCAAGAGGCAAGAATTCTAGTTCCATTTCTGTCTCAAATTACTTTGGAAACAATTCTTTGTTTTCATTTTTCCCACCTCATTTTATATCTATCCCTCTTAAGTCATTTAATAATTGCTATTAAATATATATTACATTAAATATATATTGTTTCAAAGTTTTATCTATGCATATCTCACATGCCTATCTGGACAAGGCTCCTTAAAGGCAGACCCCACCTCTGATTAACATTTTTATCTTTACATTTATTTATCTTTACATCTTTATATGGCCAAGCTAGACTGTAAGCTTCAGGAAAAGAGGGGTTTTACCTATGTATCTCCAGAAGTTAGCATGATGTGCTAATAATGTGTTAAAAAATCAGACATTTTAATAAATTAAAAACCTGAAAAAAAGAGAGTGGGGTGGAGAGGAATGAATAGGTGTAACACAAAGGTCTTTTCAGGCAGTGAAAATATTCTGATTCTATAATGATGAATATATGTCATTATATATTTGTCTAAAGACTTAGAATGTATAACACCAAGAGTGAACCCTAAAATTAACTACAGACTTTGAGTGATCATGCTGTGCCGTGCTAAGTAGCTTCAGTCATGTCCGACTATTTGAGACCCTATGGACTATGCCAGGTTCCTCTGTCCATGGGATTCTCCAGCATGAATACTGGAATGGATTGCCGTGCCCTCCTCCAGGGGATCTTCCCAAATCAGGGATTGAACCCGAGTCTTTTATGTTTCCTGCATTAGCAGGCAGGTTCTTTACCTCTAGCATCACCAGGGAAGGCCCTTGAGTTGACCATGATATGTCAATACAGGTTCATCTATTATAACAAACACAGGTTCATCAATCATACTTCTCTGGTAGGAGTTGATAATGGGGGAGGTTATGCATATGTGAGAACCAGGGATACATAAGGATGTCTCTGAACTTTCCTCTCAAATTGGCTATGAACCTAAATCTGCTATTTAAAAAAAAAAAAATAGTATGTTTCACAATTAAAGAAAAATGCTGAGAACTTATTAAATCCAACAGAGTTCATGTTATTTTTTATTTATTCATCATAATATTAATCTAATTTATGATAAACACCCACTATATGAGTAGTTCACTACTATTAACTCATTCAATACTTAGAAAACCCAATGAGACAGGTACTGTTGTGATCTTCATTTTTCAGATGAGGAAACTACAGTCAAAGAGATTAAAGAACACCCCCCAAGACTGCACATCTGCTAAACAGGAGAGTCAAGATTCACCTAAGAAGTGCTGGCCCCAGAGTCCATGGGCCTTATCCTAATCTTCCAGGTAACCAAAATTCATTATTCAGAGAATCACTTTTGCCTTTATTTCACAATTTCATGTATCTTTTTTTTCAAATCTGAGGTTTCTTGAGGTTGAAAACTAGTAATTAAATTACCACATCAATCTTCTCTTTAGGCATCTGATAAGATGGAATCTGTGGGAAGGGAAAACCATACCAAAGATATATTGCATCTTTTTCAGATATTTAGTTCAATAGAAAAATGGAAAAAAGGACTGGCTTGTAAGGAGCATTTGTTTTCACTTCCAGGATCGTGATTTTTATACAGAAGTTATCCTATACTATTAATAATTTAAAGTAGTACTATTCTCAGCCTATTTTTGATTGCTTCTGTTGTTATTACTAAAGTTGGGTGAAAAGGGGTTGTACAAGATCGCTGGTCAGATACAGAATATGGTTCAAGCAAAGACAGACAGGAGTCTTCACTAGAAAAACAAAAGGAAAGGAGTTAGAAAAATGAGCAGGTTAAAACAAGCAAACAAAAAAAGAGTAAAGAAGAAGTCCGGAGACTGTAAGGTCTCTGGAGAAGAGAAGCTGAGAAAACTGTGGAACCAAGGAGATCAATTTCTATGAATATCACAATTCTACTTAACCTAGAGTCTGGAAAAATTAAAAATAAATGGCATTTGTTTATGAATAAAGAGTAGACTTGTAAAATGGCACATTGCAATGGCTATATTTTAATTTTTAAAAATACATAAAGATTCTGCATTAAGCAATAGTCAAAGTTTTCCATGTTATTTCCTAATAGCAAAAATCCTACATAAATACAGTTGTTTCTAATAACTGTTACACAGATACTACCAGTATCTGAATGACAAAAATCGATGAAAACATCAATCAAGTAATTTATTGAGCACTAAGCACATGAATAAAAAATATTCTACTCTGTTATTTTCTCTCATTGATCGTTAAGTTTTTCAGGTTAAGGAAAAGGATGTGGAAGCAAAGTAGTCATGTAAGGAATGATCTATTGCTCAAATTTTAGTCTGCAACAAAGAGACATTTACCCACAGGTTCTATGTATTTAGCAATCATTTTCTCAGACAAAGAGATCTCCAAAAAGATCTCACTGGCCAGGTTGAAACTTGCACAGGTTCCTTTTGCACGGTTTTATTAAAGGTACCGCAGGTACAAGTAACCTAGGCAGCTTTGTCATGCAAAATGAGACTGAACAAAGAAACATTCATCCAGTTCTTGGTATGATAACTCAACCTTAAAAGTAACATTACAGAAATCTGCACCATAAGGAAATGTTATGGGGGAGAGGCTGGGGGAAGAGGGATGGACTGGGAGTTTGGAGTTAGTAAATGCAAACTATCACAAATAGAATGGATAAACAACAAGGTCCTACTGTAGCTATACTGAACTATATTCAGTAACGTGTGACAAACCATAATGGAAATGAATATTAAAAAGAATATATACATATGTATAACTGAATCATTTTGCTCTACAGCAGAAATTAACACAACATTGTAAATCAACTATATTTCAATTAAAAATAACAAAATAAAATAGAAATTACAAGTTGGTTAAAAAAAAAGAGAGAGAAAGAAAGAAAATGTTATATCAATGATTCAAAGATAGATCTTACCAAAAAATAGGAAAAAGCATAATGTATGCTATTTCTAAGTTACAAAGGATCAGCAGTATGATACAACACATACATTATTTGTTGAATTTACCAAAATCTACCTCTATGGGTTTTTATTTCCAAAGATATAACTAACAATTTGATCCTTTAATGAACTATCTATGCAGGTAGCAAACAAAAAACAGGGCTGAATATAAGCAACCTGACTCTAGAATCCAAATTTTTAATATTTCTGCTAGATTTGTTATCTGAGCTTTAATTTATCTTGAAGTGAAGTGAAGTCGCTCAGTCGTGTCTGACTCTTTGCGACCCCATGGACACCAGGCTCCTCCGTCTGTGGGATTTTCTAGGCAAGGGTACTGGAGTGGGTTGCCATTTCCTTCTCCAGGGAAACTTCCCAACCCAGGGATCGAACCCAGGTCTCCCGCATTGTAGACAGACGCTTTTCTGTCTGAGCCGCCAGGGAAATCCTTTAACTTATTTTAAGGAGGCTGAATTCATTGACAGCTTTATTTTGCTGAATCAGAGCTTTTTCTTTTCAGTGTTGTGTTAAGCTCCAGTAACAGATTATAAAGAAATTAGTACAAAGACAATGTGCTGTGAGGTTGACCCAGCAATGACAGCCATCAGCCCACTGTTTTCAGAGATGAGCCCATTAATCTTGCTTCAGTGCTTTTAGCATTAGTTTTACACAGCTCCATCCACTCACCTACCACATAAGCAGCCCTCCTAGAGCTGTGCACCCTGAAGAAACATATGGCTCTCCAGGATTGCCAAGAAACATCCTTCTGTTCAGGAATAATGGAATCGACTAGCACCTAATTAAGAATCCACTGAAATCTTCATAGACACATAACCCTAAATGGAGAACCTTACCTTTAGAACTATAACTATGAAGTAAGAGACTTTTAGTAAAACAAACAAACAAAAAAGCAATTCAAAAACAAAGCAATTAAAACAATGGATTGATTCCCTCACCCCTCTTCCCAGGAATAAAGATAAGTTTAACATGCTTTATTTTAAAGTAGAAATAAAACTGTTATTACCTTATAAATTACTCACCGATGATAATAAAAATATACTTTTACATAACCCATCTCTGTTAAGCTCTATAATCAGCTACAAATAGGCAAATCTTTTAAAAGTTTAAATTCCAAGATCTAGCACAGAAGGGAATTTTCAGGAGAGATAACTTTCTGTTACCAGGTACTGAACCTCACATGAAGATTACTTAACAACTTTCCAAACTGGTAAATGGACTTTTTTGGTTAAACCATACAAACTCAGTCACACAACTCACAATGTAGGTACTGACACTATTCATTGTTCAGTTTACTCATAATTAAATCAAGCATTTGTAGGGAGTGGAATCCAAAAACGATGTTTGGTTGGTCCAACATATGGACCATGTTTCTTTGTTGGTTGTTTTTTTTTAATGGTTGGGCTGGAAAAGCCCTGATAGGTCATGTACAGAGAGACTTTCGAGTCATAATGAGTAATTAAGACGGTCAAGTGGCAATGGAATAGAATGAAGCAGCCACTTAGTCACCAGAATGAAGACTCTAAACTGAAATCCTTTAGTTTTACCTTGAAGCCAGAACTCAAATTCTTGGTGAGGCTTTGTTTGCTTTTTTTTAACTTAATGTAACTGACAAAATATTTAAAAATTATTGAAGATGCCTCTCCTCAGATAACATATTTCATGAAGTCCTATTTCATGTTTATTTTTGAATATTATTTTCAGGAAGTTATTGAACCAATCCAGTCTGAATATTATGCTCAACTCAATAAGACTATTTCTTCCAGAACAGAGATACAGAAATATGTCTATCAGTAAGCAGCTCTTTGCCAAACAACCAACAAATTTTGTACCTAAACTACCTTTTTCCATATGTTGAAATATCTTCTGTACTTTGAAGATTTTGTGCCAATATATTTAAACATTTTCTCGAGAACAGTGGTGGAGGAGGACGAAAGAAATCATCTCTCATTCCTATGGGGCTAGAATTTACCTCTAAGTATTATATACACAGTGAGATCCAATGACATCAAATCATGAACCAGAAAAGAACAGATGATTACCTGATATTCATTGGGCCAAAAGGTGCTCACTGCTAGCTCAGCCCGAAGCCAGTCTCTACCCGTGAATCCAGTCACATTCCAAATTGGATTGGCAAGAGGTCCTTTATTCACCCTAACCAATATGTTCAAAGTGCCAGGACTCAGCCCCTTCTGGCTATATAACAGGTAACTGAAGTCAATACAGTGAGTGTCGTTCTCCTTCATTGTAGGCAGCTGAAGTCTGGCTTTTTCTCCAGGGTCATGATCTGAAGAGTCCACTATCATATAGGAACCTGAAATGATATCACATAAAATAAGATCAAGTAGATATATAAGCAAAAGGGAAAATATAATAACAGAAATAAAGCTAAAAATGATACCAATCTATTCTGAGTATTAAATTTAATTTAAAAAGACTATGTCTTCCCAAACAGAGATATAGAAAGATATCAAACAAGTAAATAGATGAATTGAATTCATAGTGGATAACAGACATTGTTCAAAGTACATAACATGTACAAATTAATTTACTCTCCACAACAATCTGTTATTATTCCTATTTTACAAATTGGGAAACTGAGGCACAATTAGTAACTTAAAGTCAAACAGGTCATGCAGAGCCTGGTTCAATCCAGATTCCCACCCTAAATTATCTCTACTCTTGCTAAACAAAGGTCTTTTAGCAAACAACCAAAGAAAAGTATTATTGGCCTGATTTACAGAGGGAGTGCATTATTCCCTTCCCCACCCATAATTCAAATGCAGAGAGGGGCTACGAGTACAGGCACTGGAATCAATTTCTGACCCCAGATCCCAAGATCATCACATATGCAAGTTGTGTGACCTTTTGCAATGTACTAAAAACTCTGGACTTGCTCAAGGAATAAGAATACTTTGCAGTGTAAGTGTGAGGACTGAAGTGTAAAATGCCAAAATTTCTAGAACTGAGAATTTGACACAAAGCAGATTCACCCACTTGGAGCCTCTTCTGCTAAGTTGACAGTTGATCACCACTCCTATTGTCCTTGAATCTGCAATAGTCTCTATGGTATTATAGAGCTACCAGAGACCTGGTTTGAAATCACTTATCTACTCCACTACCTTTGGCTTAATAAATATTCATTTGGAAATCTGACAGGAGGAAGAAAAGAACATAAAGAATCTCAACCTCCCAGTTCCTCATACTTCCACCGTCAAACACACTTGTGTGGCAAGCAAAGTCATACACAGATAAGTGTAACAATGGGATTTGAACATTAACTGCTGATATTAGTCCAAGGAGCTTTTTAAAAAAAAAAAAAACACCGTTTTTCTCATGTCCCTGTGGATGTTAACAAAGACATATATTACAAAAATGTAAATATTTACATTTCAGGTGATGATACCCATTTATCACGCTTAACGTAGAACACAAATTTTATTGTAAAATATTTTTCCCTAGGGTGTAATTTTAACACTCCCCCCCAAATGTATTATATGTAGTGTTACAGAACCCATTGTTACAAGGGTTACATTTGGACCTCTCTTCTTGACAAACCTGAGGAACCTGATTGAAAAGTCAACCCAGTTCAATTAACACTCAATTTACAAGTTCAAATCACAGCACATAGGAGGGTTTCAACTATTTAAGTAACCAAAATTTCAAGATTTCAAGTCTGACCAATTCCTGGTCAGTGGGTATTATATGGTTCAGAACTTTTGTGGAGATTTCAAGTGATAACACTGTTAGTTATTTAAGCCAAGGACAGAATAAGCTTACTACATTGATCATCAGGGAGAAGGCAATGGCACCCCACTCCAGTACTCTTGCCTGGAAAATCCCATGGATGGAGGAGCCTGGTGGGCTGCAGTCCATGGGGTTGCTAAGAGTCGGACACAACTGAGCAACTTCACGTTCACTTTTCCCTTTCATGCATTGGAGAAGGAAATGGCAACCCACTCCAGTGTTCTTGTCTGGAGAATTCCAGGGCCGGGGGAGCCTGGTGGGCTGCCATCTATAGGGTCACACAGAGCTGGACATGACTGAAGCAACTTAGCAGCAGCAGCAGCAGCAGTAATCATCATTGACATTACTTTCCCTTAATTTTTCTCAGTTCTCCTCTTCTCTTGTAACCTGAAATTCTTTTCTTTTCTCTTCTTCCCCCCTCCCAATTTTTACAGATTGCACATCCATAGAATAAACTATCCTTGTATGTTTTGAACAAATTATGTCCTTTTCTTTTAAATCAGATATTTAATTTGTAGAAGCAGGATGCTTCTGTTCTTGGTTATCCTCACATTCTACAGTCCATCCTGAACTGTAAAGATGTCTTTCAGATTCACCACAGCAAAACAGATCAATCACAGCTTTTAAGAAGGACCAGATCTGAGATCTTAGATAAGTGACTTAGTGTCATTGGGCCTCAGCTTCTTCACAAACATAGTGACCTATTTCTCCATGGCTTTCACTATTTTTTCAGTGACATATTATGACATTAGTGGATTTAAATTATTTTTACAAGTCTGCATCAATTATGACTTTTGACTGTCAATTTTCAAATAGTGCTCTCTAAATGACTTATAGGCTTTCAAATAGTTATTTTCTTCCATTATGAAATAAAGCTTGAAATAAAATGTTTTGTCTCACATTTTATTTATATAGTATGATATTTACCATTAAGACCATTTAGCCATTTTCAGCCAGTTGCACTTTTAAGTTACAATAATTTTCTTATTAAGAAAAAGGGATAAGCAAAGTATATTAATTTGTAGGAATTCCAATTTGATCATTAGAAGTCACAAAATAAAACCCTGCCAAATTATTTCAGCATTTCAAGGACATTCAATGCAAGCTAAATAAAGTTTTAGAAGTGTTGATATTTCATTTTTATAAAATGTTTCTGCTAAATTAACTTCTTTCAATGTAGCCTGACTACTGCTATATTTTTGGAGTGCTATGGAATATCATGCCTTTATTTCACAGTTCCAGAAGGGAAGACGCAAGCAAAAGCATCAAAAAGCCATCGAAATCCTTCTGCCATCTGACTTCACATAGTGGCAATTTACCCTGTAGGCACCATGGAGGTAGCTGCTGTTTGACACAAGATTCCCTTCCATCATCCCAAACACAGAGAACACTATGCTATTCTTATCAACTTCTAAAAATTACTTCCACAGTCTCCCAGAATAACTGGCTACCAAGACATAGAATCAACAAAGTCTGTAATATGCACTTCCTCATTCTTCACGTTATAATTTAAGCGTATTTACTATTGTTTAGTTATCAGCTAACTAATCCCTCAGATTTCTAATGAGTTTGGTTCTATTCAGCTGTAATTTAGCTATCTCAAGGCTTAATAATGAAACATCTGTGTGCACATAAATATAATGTACTAATTTTTAATAAATGTGACTTCTTTAGTGTGGCCTTACAAATATTCCTTATAGTCTCGTGAGCAACAGAGTTCTCAAATATATCGTTTAAGACAGAGGAAGAAAACATAAATGCTTGTAATTAAAACTTTTAAGAAGTATAACCTTTCTGGAAAGCAATTTGCCAATGAGAATCAAAAATCTTTCAAAACTTATATGCCTTCTGCTCTGACAATTCCAAATCTAGGAAGGTACACTAAATAATCACGTGTATGTACAAAGATAAAGCCTTAAAAAAAAAAAAAAACCTCTCATTTTCCTCATTAAAATAAGGAAAAGTATTTAAAATTCCAATAATAGGCAATTTGTAAAATTATGATAAAAGTTTGATGAACACTTATGCAGTCATTAAAAATGATATTATTAAAAACATTTAATGGAAAATACAATATGTTAGGTAAAATACACATTATAAAATATTATACTCACTTATGAAAATATATATTTATATTAAATAAAAGCATTGGTATAAGTGAGTGGGTGTATTCATATATGAACACATAAACATGTAGATATAATTGAAAGAAAACAAAAATGCATAGAAAATGTCAACTGTATCATCTGGGCAGGGGGGTGCTGTACTTTGTCTTCTGTTTTATTTTTGTTCGTATATATTCACTGAATGTTCTACAATAGGCATGCAACAGGTTTGTACTTTAAAGAAAGACTACACGAATGCCATCTTAGCATGAGGACCATCGAATGGATAATGATAAATACTTAGGAAATAAACGCGGCATTTGTTTTGGTTTTTTGCCTTTTAAAAACTAATCCTATTTGTATCCCACAGATTAACAGCTTCTTGGCTTTCGAAAAAAACAATACAAAAACTAGGACCTTCTTATTTACTTCAATTCATTAAAAAAGAGAGGCTGCAAGTACTTAGCAGCTTTTACTTAGAAAGTCAAAGAAAACAAATTCCATATTCATAAACACCACAGTCCAAAATCTAGATAAACAATGCCCCTATGAATTTTCTGTATTAATGAAAATTTTATCTTTATGCTATACTTAAGGGAAAAACATAGTAACAGAGAAAATAGGATTAACTGCTAAGAAAATAATGAATGATGAATAGATTTCTACACTTCATCCTAAACTTCCTTCATTATATATATATATATCTTTTTGAACACTAACAATATTTTCATTAAGTCAGTTCTTATTCAAAATCCATTGTATTTTCCCTGTAAAGTAAGCAGAGAGAAATTTCCACTTCTGTGCTTAGTACTAACCACACTCCATAATCTTGCCCAAAGTACTACATCTACATTACCTTTCACTACTTCTCTTCACAAACCAGCTTCCCCAAACCTGACAGAGCACTCACTATTCTCCCCACATATCACACCAGTTTCCTCCTTCAGAATGGGTTCAGTCTCTTATAAGAAAGCCTCCCCTCATCTGAGCCCCTAGTCAATTATTACATTATTCTTCTTCAGCCCCAGCCCACCCTGACCTTCCCCTGCCTTTGATATACAGTTTCAGCCTTTTTTGTTCTATACCTTAATTAGACACTGTCTTTACACAATTACATAGGAACATTTATATCCTGCAAAAGAGTAATAATATCCTCTTAGAAAGTACATGATTCAGTCAAGAGTCCAATCAAAAAAGAAAAGCCACACACAAAAAATGTAACAGTAAAAGTATAATATAAAGAATTATTAACTATAAGAAGGTGATGTTGTTGATCAGTTGCTCAATCATATCCCACTCTTTGCGACCCCATGAATTGAAGTATACCAGGTTTCCTTGTCCTTTACTATCTTCCGGAGTTTGCTCAAACTCATGTCCATTGAGTTGACAATGCCATCCAATCCTTTCATCCAAGAGTATAGAGATTTTAAAGGTATAAAGAGAACCCTAAGGGATAACCGCA